CCCAGTAGCGATGGCCTCCACCCCTTAGTAGCGATGGCCTCCAGGAACTTTCGGCGGATGGCAAGTATGAGATCCGCATGTTCCTGCCCTTGGGTTTTGAACACATCAAGACGGAGAAAGCCTGGGGAACCATTGAGGTTGATGACTATTTGCCGTGCGTTCCACCGCCCAAAGAGGGTGTACTTTCAGGTGCAAGGCCGTTCTTTATGGGTCTGGCGAACGGAAACAAGCTCTACATGGTTTTGCTGGAAAAGTGCTTTGCCAAAGCATCAGGCAGCTATCAAGCTTTGTATGGTTTCGATTCCAGGACTGTTTGGAAGGCTTTGACTGGCTGTGAAGATACTTTTTGCTACACTGATGTTTGGACAAGCAAACGAGGGAAAGATTATTACAATCAGCCGGAGTGGCAGGTCACTGCAGCAGAAGTTATGGTTTCAGAAGAGTATGGTGGTCAGAGCAAGGGGCGCTTGATGCAAGGAGCCACCTTTAAGGAGGTGGAAAGGAGACGTTATCATGTGAAGTTCCAAAAGCTTGAAGGTGAAGGTCCTGAAGAGGGCTGGCTGCCTTACTTCGTATCAGGGAAGCGCACTGCCAAGCGCACGTCCAAACGTTGGTGGCTGCACTACGTTGACGGCTATCCCGAAATGGATGATATGTTCGAGAAGCTTGTGGAGCTGGACCGGGCGAACTATGTGATGTGCACTGGCCCCAGGAGGCGTGCAGGGATGCGTGAGGATGGCCTCGTGTTCCCTCACGCCTACAGCGTTCTACACGCTGTGCATGTGAAAGGCGTGAAGATGGAAAAAAAAAAACAGAAAAATGCGGGGTCTAAAGAAAAAAGAAATTGTAAAATAAAAGAAAGGAAAGGAGGCATTCTTTGTTTGAAAAGTCTTGTTTCCTCCTACATGTCCGTGCAAGGCTTGAAGATGGTTTGTTTGCGGAATCCTTGGGGACATGGAGAATGGAGAGGTCCCTGGGGGGATCAAGGCGAGGAATGGAAGTTGTACCCAGACGTGGCGGAAGCTTTGAAGTTCGATGAGAAAGACAATGGTACTTTTTGGATGGAGTGGGAAGACTTCGAATGGAACTGCGGAGGAGTCGACGGCTTGTCCTTTTCGATTCCTGCAGAGAAATCTTCCAAAGTTGAAGTTTGAAGAAGAGAGTCTTCCCCGACAGAACTCTTGAGAGTCTCTCAAAAGCCTTTGAGACTTTGAGATCACTTGTTTCCCCGAAGTCAGAACATCAGATATCGAAGATATTGACACTAGACAACGCACTTGCTTGACAACCGCATTGCCAAAGGGCAGAGGCGCTCAAAAAGATTGTCCTTTGAATAGACAGCTTGTTATAGGAGACCAATAAGGACAATAGCCAACAATGTGACATGGCCAACCAATGTGACCACCACAGTGTGAGGCCAATGCGGGGAGCTTCGCATGATGAAGCCATGACTTCGGACTCCACAGCCTCTCAATGAAAGTGCGGGAAAGAGACAGAGAGAGACATATAGTAACAAGAAGCTATTAGAAACAAGTGCCTTACTAGTATAAACAAGAAGCTATTAGAACCAAGTGCCTTACTAGTAGTAACAATAAGAATTTAATTGGAAATGTAATTACTAGCAAAGGAATCTACTAGGACCTTTTCGAGCGCGCGCGGGGGTAGGAAGCTAGTAGTAACAAGTGCATCGCTTCTAGTAACAAGTGCCTTACTAGTAGAAACAAGTGCC